AAAAAAAAAGTTAAAGCAATTCAAAAAGGAAAAGAAAACAGGTGTGGGCAAATTTTTTTTGCCTTGTCCATATTGGGTATGCAGAGATGTGTGCAAAGACTGAACAGCTGTACAGAAGACTGGGAATAAATAGGTGAGTCTCCTTTCACTGCCAAAAGGGGGTTCTGCCTGCTTGTGCTGTCAGTGGTCATACGAATATAAGAGGTGCACTTCTTAAACAATGCTGAAATCCGGTGTCATTTTATGCCTGGACCCCAGATGCCATGCACCCACTGACCAGTGTTAGCAAATGATTGCCAGCCAGAACTAACGATTATAGGTGAAGTGCATTTCAGCTTGAGATAAACTCGGCTACTGACTGACCGTTCCTGACTGTTCTCCTCCCCAACTCCAGGTCAAGGTTTTGAACGGCATCTGTGACAAAACCATCCGATCTGCGGCAGACCCTGTGATGAGCCAGTGCGCGTGCCTGGAGGAGGTGCACCTGCCGGATGTGAACCCCGGGGAGGGCCTGGTGAGACCCCGGCAGCCTCGGTTTACTTTTAAATACTAACCTGGCAGACCCCTCCTTCCTGCCTGCTGCTCCCCTCAGCAGTGGATTTCAGTCGATCCGCTTGTTCTGCTCCCCACTCTGTCTCTGGGGAATCCTCTCCCCCCCCATACCTATGGCCTGTGTTCCAGTTCTTGTACGCATAAATAAATAAATCTTTAAAAAGAAAATAACCCGTCAGCATTGATGAAAGATTGAAAAATAAAATTCTATCGTTTTCACAGCAATTCCTAGTGGTAGTGTTAAGTGAAATTGTCTTCCACCATGAATTTAAGGATTTGCCATCTTGAATTCCATTGGTAATGTTTTGTATAAAACATTCAAAGTATAAAAATAAATACAGTTCTAAAACTGGGTATCTTGAAGGAATCCCCTGAATTGTTTTATTTGTTGTTTTTTAAAAGATTTATTTATTGATGCATACAAAACTGGGGTACAGGCGAGAGAAGTGGTGGGTTTTCGAGAAGAGACAGAGACAGAGTGGGGAGCAGAACAGGCAGATTGACGAAGTACACTGCTGAGGGGAGCAGCAGGCGGGTCAGGAGAGGTCAGGTGGGTCACCTTCCGGGGCGGGGATCAAACTCATGCTGAAGTGGCTTTAGCTTCTTAGTGTTGTGCTTCAATCTGCTGCACCACCAGGGAGGGCCTGAATCATTTTATTTTTAGTGCTTAGCAATGCAGGGAGATTGACAACATTTACACCAAGGAAAGATGCTCTGTGGGTACAAAACAACATATGTTCTAGAAGTCTTTCTTGGCACTTAGAGGAATGAGAGAAGCTGGTCAAAGACAAGGATTCTTTAGAAAAGCTCACAGGTGTTTCATAAGTAACGTATGAGCTGTGTCACTGTAGCCCCAAGAAGACACGCAGGTTGCTGGCTGGCTGCCTGGCAGTGCCTGGGTACCCAGCCCTCCCGGCCCCTCGCATGCACCTGCTGGGGTTATGTTGCTGAAATTTAAGTGAACGAACCGTCAGACCAATGATGATCCCGGAAGCTCTGAGGCAGTGAAGGTTGGGTTTGAACCCCAGTTCCCAAGACACCTAGCCTCTTTACCGTCAGTTCCCTCGGCTGCTAAGAGTGGATAATACTCAGCTCCGTAGGGTGCTTTAGAGCGGTTCCGTGAGGATGAATACGGAGTGCCCGTTGCTGGCTGCAGGGAGCAGGCTCAGTTACTGGTAGCTGCAGCTGTCGTTGTGTTACTGATGGTGATGCAGAAGGAGAGGAGAGCAGGGAAGGGGTAAAAGGGGACTCCGAGGGAGAGGGGAGCAGAAGGCGGAGAGGGGGGATGAAGTGGGAGTGGCAGGAGGGGGAGGGGGAGCAGAACCTCACGCATCATAGCCGTGGGTAGGAACCGGTGCAGCCTCTGCGCTCACGCAGATAAACAGACCCCTTAAATGGAGGGGCTCCTCTTTCTGACTTACTCCTGCTTGGTGACGCACCTGCACCCATACATCCTGGTCTAGGTTATTCGTGGCCTGTGTCAGTTGCTCAGACATGATCGCTGACACCAAGTCGTTTGAACAAAGGGTGACGCCCTCTAGGCACGGAGGTGGGTGGCAGAGACCCTTCCTTGTTCAAAGGGTCTCTTCCTCCTGAGAGTCTGAACAGGATGCAGAGTCCTCAGGATTACAGAGGTTTCCTGCACCTGCTCCAGGAATTGTAAAACTAAGGAGCTCTCATTGCTCATTTCTTTGACTGGTATTGAGATTGTCTAGTCATCCTTCACCACTTTCAGATATTGTTTTTCTGGGTCTTAGGTGTTTTTTTTTTTTTTAATTTATTTATGCATACAGAGCTGGGAGTATAGGCCAGAGGTGCAGGGGTGGTGAGAGGACTCCCCAGAGACAGAGCGGGGAGTAGAACAGGCAGATCGACAAAATACACTGGTCTGCTGCACCACGTGGGTCACCTCCCAGGCCTGGGATCCTGCTCATGGTGAAGCATGAGCTGCCTCTAGCTTTGCAGAGTTGTGCTTTAGCCCACTGTGCCACCAGGAGGCCCTCAGGTTCTGGAGGGTCTGCCTTTAAAGGTTTGTAAGTTCAGGCCTCACTTGGGGCTGTGGTCCTAACACCGGAGTAATGAGTTGCTGTGTCTGTGCTCACTCTAGGGCATGTACATCAAGTCAACCTACGACGGACTGCATGTGATCACCGGGACCACGGAAAACGTGAGTGCACAGCCCGTCAGAGCAAAACTGTGATGTGTTTAAACTCGACACGGAGGTTGTGTACTCTGCATTGTAATGTAGGCAGGCTGTTTTATTGTCTGTGGTGAGAGCGACCGCTTGTCTGTTTTGTTTACTTGTGTTGCTAGTGAACACCAGCTGTTGTCAATTTATTATTTAAATTGCCTTTGATTGGTCTTGTTCACGCACCTCACCTGACTTATACCCCTCGATCTTGTGTTCATCATTCCTTGTGCTTCCCGGCAGTGGCAACTCATAAATACAACAGAACGACCTCCTTTTGTTGACAGTTGCTCTTAGAAGGACTGGAGTCCCATAGCCATATGTGTGAAATATGTTTTTTTTTTGTTTGTTTAAAGGAATTTATATGTGTCACCAAAGCAGACGTTTGGGATATTTGCATGACACAAATTCTGTTTTTAGAGTTGCATTTTGTCATGTTTGGCATGAAATTTTTTCCCTCCAGTGCTTTGTATAGAGAAAGCAACGCTTCTTCTACTGTTTTTCTTCCTTCTTGCAGAAGTCCTGCCACATGAAGGTTTTTCTTTAGCCTCTCTGCTATTTTGAATTTGTGAAACTTAGAGCAAATTGAATGCTTTCTTCTTGTAACTTACTGTATGGCTAATTTTTGAATAGCATTGATGTAAAGTTAAACATGTTTCAATTGCTGTCCCAGATCTGTGTAAAAGAAGCTTATATGTGGGAAAACCCCACTATTTAATCACTGGAGATGGGGAAATACTTCCAAGAAACAGAAGAAGTTGAATAACTCTGACCTGTTTGGTGGAAATGGGTGCTGATAGGTATTTTGATAACATAAAATGGCCCGCTCTTTCGTGAGTCTTTTTGACACAGCTTGCTTTTTGTAGTAAGAAAAACAATGATATTGTTAAAGACGCCAATGAATTATATATGTGTGGCGTGTTTCTGCCAGATGGGTGAGTAGAAGATGGCACAGTCTCTTGGCCTCCTTTGTTGAGCTACTGAAAACAACATAGAACTGTTTACCATATCACCCCGCAGAGAGCAGCAGCACAGAGCATCCCGTTTTTAGGATGGGGATGGTGCAAAAGAAAAGACCACACAATGTTCATCCTTTCCGAGACTTGCATAGTTTAGCTGAACCACCCTCAGAACACACTCACATGCCACACAGCGCCTTGTTTTGGAGTTGGGTAGACTCAGAAGGGTGGTTGTAGTTTTGGGAAGGCCGAGGTTTTGCATGTGGCAATTTGGTAATTGCATTGCTTCACAGTCAGACTTGTCTTTGGTCTTCTGAAGCAGTTTCAGCTGGGGTAAACGTGTAGCTCATTATAATATTACTACCAGAAGGCACACAGACTTCTCTTTTGCACACCCCCCGCCTCCAACTTTGTGTTTTAAGGATATGAGTTGAATGAAAGACTAAACAAGGCTGCTTTCAAATTGAATGAAATATGCAATGCAGTGATAGACTTCCTAGCACTCCTACCAGACCCGTAGACTGGATGAGAGATTTGGGGTTACCTGAATGTCGTTGACCCTAGGGTCCTCAGTCAGGGATGTTCATAAGTCATCCCAGAGCTGGTTTCTGTGTTGTTAGAGATCAAAACAGAAAACGCTTGTCTTATTCCATCTGTTAATCCATTTGACAGTGTCACTTATCCATCCTTTCATTCATTCATCTTGTGCTCACTGAGTACCTGGAATGTGCTAAGCTCCTGCTAAGTCTTAAAGAGGAAGTGAGAAATTAGTGAAGAGCCCACTTCTCAGGGGCTTAATCTGGATATTTTGTACTTAATGCTGGCAATTTACATTTTAAGAGCAGAGGATGGAGAATAACAGCTCAGAACAGCTTCTAGCCACCACTCAAGTCACGTTGATAGCACAGTCAGCCCTGGCTGGCTGGTGTGTGGAAACCAGCCTTTGCAGTCCAGGGCAAATTACCTTCCTGCTGAGCTCATATGGTCCCTTGACTGAAGCAGAGACAGTAGGCCACCTCGGGCCTCCAGTCCCTGTTTTTGGAGGTTAGGTGAGACACCAGGACCATGCCAAGGTCAAACGAACAGTAGCTAGTGATTCTCTATCTGATTTCTCTTTTGATGTTCTTCAAGCCCTTGACAGGAGGCTTGATGGGAGCCTATCCATCCCTCTACTCCCCAACCCAGAGATGAAGCATGATTAGCTTCATTGTGAAGAATGGCTGCTTTCTTCCCCAGGTCACCTGCAACAAACCAAACAACATCATTTTTCAGCAGTCTGGCTCATGGGGAAGATGGGCAAGAGCTTCTGCCCCCGGGAGACTCATGGTATCAAGCTCTTTTTCCCAGTGTGCTGCCAGGCACAACATAGCACTTGGTAGGACACCTGAGAAATGAATGAATGAAATGAATGCGCGTGAAGCATTAGGGCAGGAAGTCAACTCAGGACACTGGGGCTTGTTTTAGAAGACTTCACATCCATCACCAGGGACTCTCTGGCCTCGGGGCCATCTTCCCCGAAAGGCAGCTCACCTGCAGAGAAGCCGAGTCCAGGAAGGCTGACTGGACAGGCCCCGATCACCAGACTTGCAGTGTTAGTCTGGGAGAACATGCTAAGTGTCCGACAGAGGTGAGAAAGAGCACACACGCTTGTGTCAGACTCCTCAAGAAAAGGGGATTCCAGAAGGCCAGCCTCCTGCGGTGCCTACCTCGCCAGTCACCAGGAGAGGCACGGCAGGTGCTGGTGGCTTCACTTTGAGGGTTTTTAAAATCAATGGCTACCATTCATTTGCCCTGCATTGGGCCTGGACCAATGAAAGGGAGGGTTTGGCAGTGGGGTGCTGTCAGCTCATTTCCTACAGAGCCACACAGCAGCTGGGTGAGAAATTCAGCGGATGGGTCTTGAGTGGAGTGGGCTCTCTCCCTCACTGCATTTAGGGTGCTATTTTTAAAGGAGAGCTGTAAGCTTTTTTGAAGATTTGCCAGTTACATAAGTTACCAAACTACTCTGGTCTAGATAACGCTGGATTATAATTGGAACCCTTCTTTGTTGGTCAGAAGAGATCATCTTAAACAGAAAGAACCCTAGTTTGATTAAATGAGCAACACTATAGGCAAAATAATTGGCAGGGAGATTGTACCAACGTAGCTACATACATATATGTGTATATGTGCACGCATTTGCAAATTTGTGGAAAAGTGAAGTCATCTTGGTATTGAACTGCACTAAATTTGAATTTAACCTGCAAAAGAAAAAAATTAAATTCATTTTCAGTAAAGAAATAGTCTATTGTCCTATCTCTCTGTTTTGAGTAGTACTGTGATAGAACAAGTTTGGGTGAAAATAGATTTCGTTTTAATGATGCTTTAGAGTAGATGGGATGACAGGCAGAGTTTACATTGACGAGCTTTTTACATTTCATAGCTTGGCCACCTTTTACAAAGTAATTTCAATGGGGCTACATGCAAGGTATTTCTCAGTGGACCCAAGGCTCTGGACAGCTCATCTGTCAGCCATGTGTTCTGTTTTCTCTGGTAGGTGACACGGAGCCAACTGTGATAATGACAGTGACCCATTATAATTGGTCATTCTAAAATAGGTGACATGGGTGTTCACGAGCCTGGTTCTGCAGACTGGCCCCAGGAAACTCAAGTTCATGGTCTTGAGGAATTTTTATTTCCATTGCCCATTGTCTGGAGCAGGAAAAAGAAGCAGAAAGAAGTGGAAAGCTTAGAGAATTAAGACCATCTCTTTGTCTCTAGTCTCCTGCAGACAGATCTCAGAAGATCCATGCCGGTGATGAAGTCATTCAAGTTAATCGGCAAACTGTGGTGAGTTTGTTCGTTGAGACCTCATGAGACTTGAACATTGCCCTCAAGAACTTTTAACCACATCCAGGCCATTTTTTTTTGGCATTTTAAAAACTTGCCATTTTAACCAATTGTCATCACTTTGAGCAGTGCTGAGATGACTATACTGGTCTCTCGCTGCTCACAGCCCACACCTGTTGTAAATTCACAGGTTTGCTTTTCAGTCCTCATGAGGGAATATCTCCTCTCCTCTCTCTTCCTTGCAGGTGGGATGGCAGCTAAAAAACCTGGTAAAAAAGTTGAGAGAGAACCCTACTGGAGTTGTGTTACTGCTTAAGAAGCGCCCCACGGGGTCTTTCAACTTCACTCCTGCCCCCCTGAAGAACCTCCGGTGGAAGCCGCCCCTCGTGCAGGTGCGATACCTGTTGCCAGCTCTCAGCTGTGGCTGCCCGCGGGCGGTGTCCAGGGTCTGCTTGTCCCCAGTGGGAAGGAGGAGCGTTTGGAGGTGGCTGTGTTAGGGTCTTATAGATGCATAATAGAAACCACCCAGTAACCCCACTTAGGGACATACACACTCTGTATTTGCATCCAGCGGCCCACAGCCACAGCACGTGGGAAGAGATGAGGAAAAGCCACTTCCCAGCCTCGCTCACCCTGAGGCAGATGCTGTCACCGCCGATGATCTGTCCTCGCCCCCGACGGCCAGTCTAGTCCTTCTCTCATTTCGAACACACACTTCTAGAAACGCCCACGCTCTGAGCGTGACCCTAGAGGACCACATGCAGTTGAGTCCTTATAGCTATTTACCAAGAGGGTGTTGGGGACCAGCCCCCCAGCGGGAAGCGGGAAAGTGACACATTGTTTGGAATTTCCAGTCGAGCGTGGCAGTGAAAAAGACCAACTTAGTGGTCTTTATTATCTGTTATTACTTATGCAAATTCTCTCCCAATTTCTTTGATTGCTTACACCTGGGCGGACCGAGTTCACGGTCAACACCTAATTGTACCCACCTTCCTTAGCGTCATTGCCTAAAGCAGGACAGGAAGCTGTGACACTTGAATGTCCTTTTCCAAGACAGAGGTCGCAGTTTATTTGTAACTGGGACTTTATCAGACATACTCGAAGGGAAGGGCAATGCTGGTCTCCGTGCCATGTGGGCACCTCGAGAGGCTGAGGGCTCTGGAAAGGTGCCTGCCCAGAAACTTAAGGGGAGGCTGAAAAGAAGGATCAGGCTTGGAGGCCGGAGCAAGGAGGGCCGCCGTTAAACCACTTCTTAAACAAGCGGGCCTGTCAGCCACACTCCTGCTGCTTCGGTTTGCAAGGCTCAGTGGAAGGTGTAGCGTCTTGAATTTTTATTGACATTCCCAGGACGTTATTGAATCACAGAGGCTTTATGAATGCGCCGCTGATAGCCGACTGAGTGCCCGCTGCACCCCAGCTGTGCCAGCTGCTTGATGAGGGATAAGAGCTGTGTCCCCACGAAGGCAGGAAGGAGTGTGGACAGGGCAGGCGAGGTGCGTCTTCCTGAGCAAGTGGAGTATTTTCGGAGCCTGGGAAGACCAGCGTGTGGGCAGAGGGAGGACACGTGTCGGGGATGAGTCCACTTCTTCAGCCACGGACTCGCCTACTTCTTCAGCCGCCTTGAGGGAAGGCTGGTCTGGGCCAGGTTTCCAGGAAGCAGAGGCAGTGACAGGCAGTGACAGACGTTCCTGTGAAAGCTGCTACTGAGGGCGAGGGCAGGTGCTTGAGGCGAGGGAGGGAGGGAGGCAGGGGAGGCCAGCTCAGCGTGGCCTCAGGGCAAGGCCAGGCGAGGGCTCCCCCAGCAGGTAACCACACACCTCTGCACTTCTGTAGCTTTAGTCAGTAGAGGCTTTTGTCAGCTGGCGACAGATCTTTTCCAACTTCGAGGTTTTATTTCAGTTTTAATAATTGCATTATTTTTATTTAGGTGAATGCTGTGTGATTAAGGGGTACAGTTCACCCCTCTTCAGATATATGTCACTCACTGTGACACCACCGGGGCACCCATTGCCCTCCCCCACTGTCCGCCCTGCCCCCTCCCTCGGATGCCCCCACCCAGCCCAGCTGAGCTCTGTTCTCCAGAGCAGGGCTGTGTGCGCTCAGCAGCGGGCCTTCACGGCAGTGGGCCATGGGCCGTGGGCTCGCGGATTGGCTACGGGGCTCTCCGTGGGCGCCACAGCCCTCCTTCTGGGACTGAGGACCTCAGGTGCCAGGGCAGAGGGTGGGGAGAGAGCTGGGAGCTGGTTACGGGCCGTGGCCTTCACCCCACAAGAGACGGGTTGAGAGCTGA